TTCCCGCTGTGAAACGGGGCAGCGCATGCAGCCAGGCCATTGTCTGTGCCGGCCGTTCAGGGCGTAATGCAGCAGGGGCGCCGAGCGCAGCAGCCACCTGGCAAGCCTGGGTGAGTGTGGATTTCAAATCTAACAGGTGTGGAGGGCACTCGGCCTGCTGGCCGAGCCTGCGTGCGTCAGCGCCTGGGTTCCGTTCCTGCCTCTGACTGCCCCCAGCTTCCTGCGAATGCAGAGCTGGGAGGCAGCGGCGATGGCTGCAGTGGCTGGTCCCTGCCTCCCGCGTGGGAGAGCCGGACTGAGTGCCAGCGCCTGGCTTCGGCTGTTGCAGGCGTTCAGGGTTGGACCAGCAACTGGGAGCCCTCTCTTCCTCTCTCTGTCCCTCCCTCCCTGCCCTGCTGTTTCTCATAAATGAAACTCAGCCAAGAAGAGTAACGTCTGTCCTTCTCTGAGAAACAGAGACTCATGCACCCAGCTCCTTTGCACACGGCTTTGGTTCTGGCCCGGGCGGGTGCTGGGCAAGGCAGGTGCGCGCCGGCGCTGAGGCTGCGTCCACGTCTGCTTTGCAGAGCGCCATGCAGAAGGCGGCCTTCGAGGCACTCCAGGTGAAGAAGGACCTGATGCATCGGCAGATCCGGAACCAGGTGGGTGCCGGGGCCGGGCCCCCAGCGCCTGCGTCTCCGCCTTCAGAGGCAAGCAGGGAGACTTACCAGGCCGCGCTGGCACCCAGGGTCGGACCTGGCCCCTGGCCGGCTGGCTCGGCAAGAGGTCTGCACTCCTCCCGGACCCCAGCAGGGGCTGTCGGGAGCGGGGCTGGAGCAGCCCCGTAGGTGCCCCGATCCCAGGGCCTGGCCAGAGCACGCATGGCCTGTTCTCGCCACTTCCGCCATGCGCGGGGCTGGGGAGGCAGTGCTCCTGACCGGGTCCCCAGAGGGACCCCTTGCTGGGGGACACGGCGGGCTCAGGCCCCGCTGTCCCAGTAGCTCAGATGGCTGAGGGGCAGCTGCCACGGGTCCCATTGCCCTGACGCCAGACAGGAGGGCTGAGCCCGAGCCAGCCTGGGGGGCTCCACTGCTGCGGGCGGCCTCCCTCGGCGGGGCTGGGGGCCGGGGCTGACGGGGGCTGTCGGGCTTCGGCGGGCAGCGCTCATCGCATTGTTCTCGGCACACTTGAATTTCACATTTCCCATGGTTTCTTTTCTCTTTCTGTTCTTTTTTCTCTTTTCTTTTCTTTTTCTTTTTTTTTTTTTTTAACAGAACCGACTTACCTTTTTTATTTCCCTCTTTTAATTTCAATCCCACGTTGCTGGACATGAAGCTCATTCCTCTGACCAGGGTAGTGGGGTCGTAGGGACTTAGGGACAGACGAGGGCACAGGACAGAGAAGTCCCTGGCTGTGGGGCCTGACCTCCCAAAGCCCCCCGACACACCTGAGGCTGCGTGGTGGGCGCTGGTGACCGGCAGGCCAGCTGCTGCTCATACTCGGAGCTGGGACATCCCAGAGAGACGGCTCTCAGTGCCCCGAGTTCTTGGGCGAGTTACTGAACGTCTCCCAGCCTCAGGGTCCTTGTCCAGAGGGCAGATAGAAGCGCTGATGCCTCCCAGCAGCCAGGGGGAGCGATGCACACAGAGTGCACAGTGCAGGCCCCGCACGCACGCGATGCTCCGTAGACATCAGCCGCCAAGCCTCCCCAGCCCTGCGCCTGCCCTGGGCCCAGCCAGAAGCTTCCGTGATGGTTCTGTGGCTGCTCTCTCCTTGGCCTGGGTCGGGAAGGAAGGCCCCTTCCTCATCCCTGACCTTGGGCCATCCCACCCTGGGCCTTGGTCAGTGGTGTCGGCCAAGACAGCCACATCCCCGGCCCCAGTGGGAGGTACCAGCTGTTCTCCAAGCCCCTGGGGGAGCCAAAGCCTTTGCCTCCCATGTCCCAGAGGCCAGCCCCCTGCCCGCGCCCCCAGAAAGGCACCTTAGACCCCACGTGGCCTCCCGAGAGCAGGACACCAAACGGAACCATGGTTGATGTGAGTAAAACCCTGCCCTGTCTCATCTTCTGTTTAGATTAAGTTAATAGAGACTGAGTTATTGCAGCTGACACAGCTGGAGTTAAAGAGGAAATCCCTGGACACAGAGACACTGCAGGTACGTAGGGCTCCCGGCCTGCCACCCCCGCCCCCTCCGCTGCTCACCCACCCAGGGCGGCCCCCAGCCCCACCAGAAGGCATAGGCAGACAGAGGCTGGAGGCTGGGTCAGCCCACGGCCAGGCAGGCGGCTCAGAGGAAGCAGGGTTCATGGCCAGGGCTGCCGGTCTCTGTGAGCGGGGCTGCCGGGCTGCCTGGACCGATGTCCCTGGGGGAAGGAGCCGGAGGAGAGGGCCGTGCCCCACAGGGAGCTGTGTCTGAGCTTCGGCTGGGTGTCCTGCCCACCGAAATCGGGGCGCACTGCATCTGGGGCCTGGCCTTGCTCCCCAGTCAGCCTCACTGTGTGACCATGGCGGCTGGGGGAGGAAGGGCAACCCTTTCCCTCCTTGGGCCTCGGGCCCCCCAGAGGCACACAGGGTTCACGTGTGTGAGGACCTGGGTCCGTGCCAGGCTTCCGAGCAGAGCCCCCGTCCATCTGTCCCGGTGTCTGTACTCCACGGAGAAGCCTCGCATTGTCACTCGGGCTTCTCAGGCCGTACAGGTGCTGGGGCCTGGGTGCTGCTCACTCGCCGCCCCCCACACCGGCGTGCCGTGTGGCTGTGGGCAGGCCACTGCCACTACCTCCCCTAGGCCCAACCTGTGTGTCATCAGGCCCTCAGAGAAGGGTGAGCTAGCAAAGACCCCTTGGAGCCTTGAGGTAGTCTTGGGGGGGCAGGGTTACTCTGGGAGGCTGCGACCACCATGCTCGGGGTGCCCATTAGAGTGGGCAGGGCTCCCGTCTGCAGGGCTCTGTGAGTTTGGGACAGGAAGAGGGGCGCCACCAGGAGCATGTGTGCCTCCGGGTGTGGGGTTCCACACCAGCCCCCCTCCATCCGCTTCTGCCCACGTGCTGCGTGGTCAGCGAGACCAAAGCTTGTCATTTCTTTTGTTTGACATTTGTCACCACTCCATTGTCATCCTCACTAGAGTCCCATGGTGTCCCCGACCCCCACAGGGAAGGGAGATGCAGGCTTGGGGGAGGGCGTGGGGATGCCGGGGCAGCGGGTCCCTGGGCTTCGTCCTCCGGCTCAGCCTAGAGGTACGGGGCAGAGCCTGGAACGGAGCCGCCAGCTGCGGACGGAGTAGGGAGGTCCCGGGCGCGTCTGGGTCCCTCCCTCCCGCCCCGGTGGGGACTCCTGGGGCCTCCGCGAGCTCACTGGGCCCCGGCGTGGCCTTGCATTGCAGGAGATGGTCTCAGAGCAGCGCTGGGCCCTCAGCAACCTGCTCCAGCAGCTGCTCAAAGAGAAGGCGCAGCGCGAGCAAGAGCTCCGGGAACTCCTGGTAGGTGGTAGGTGCGCGGGCCGGCCAGCACGCGGGCGCCGGCTTCCCCAACACAGCCGCCGTGCGGTGGCGGCCGCGGGACGGGTCCTCAGAGAGGACACGCAGGGTGTGCAAGGAGAGCCGTCCCCCCGCTGTGCGCTGCGATTCCTAGCGAGGGTAGGCCTGCCTCCTAACTCCTGGGGCTTTAGACGCAGGCTCTCGGAATGGCTCTGTTCAGCATCTGAGGACAGTCATGCGTGTCTGTGATGGATAAGTTTGCGCGGGAGTGGCTCAACTGTCCCCTAAACCCAGGTGCACCGACTCTGGTACAGGGCAGGGCGCAGAGCCTCGCCACGGGCGCCCCCAGACCCAGCAGCCCGGAGCAGCGGGGACAGGGCGCAGGCTCACCAGCCAGTGCTGAGGAGGCGGAGTCATTGTGCTCGGCGACTTCTGAGCTCCCTGCCAGGCCAGGAGAAGAGCGAGATCCGCCTCCTCCCAGCCCCATCCGAGCCCCCGTGTGAGCCGCCCGTCCCTGCGGTGCTGACTGCCACCTCCTGCACGCCGGGCACGGTGCGCCCACAGCCAGGCACCACGGCCACCTGCTCTCGCTCTCGGTGGGTCTGGCATGACTGGACTCCCCACCCCAGCGGGGCCAGGCAGGGCCCTGGCTGCTGGAAGAGAGTTGCCCACAGCCGGGGGGCCAGGGGCAAGAGAGGCAGACCTGGGCGAGTTCCCCCTCACCCTGAGCCTCCGTTTCGTCAGCTGAGAGGTGGCACGGAACTTCACAGAATTGTGGGGGTTACGCGGCCGGCGGGTGTACGTGCATAGCACAGACTGGCACCTGGAGCCCGGAGGAGGCCAGCGGCTGTGGCCCGGCTGTGGCCGTAGCCGGCCCCTGCTCCGTGCTCCATCGTGGCCCCTGGAGCAGGGCCTGGCTCGGGATGGCGCCTGGCAGGATGCGCAGGCGTGCAGGGCTGTGGCTCAGGTGGACAGTGTGGCCACCTGCAGGGCTGACTTCTGAGGCTGAGCAGCAAGACATCCCGAGGGCCTGAGAATCAAAGTGATGACCCCAGGAGTCAGCGACATCCCGGTGCTCTCCTCGGCGCCTCTGGGCCCCTGGCCGGGCACCTGGAAGGCGGTCAGTCTTCAGCTCCAAGCAGAGGCGGGCGCCCCTCCCAGAGGGGGCGAGACCTCCGGGCTCAGCGTCTCCCCTGGCCTGGCGTGCGTGGCCAGGCAGGACAGCTACTTCCCGGCGAGGGGTGGGACGCTGCTTCCTGGTCTGCACTTGAGCCGAGTGGGTGGGCAAGTTGCCCGCGCATCCCAAGCGCGTGCACCTGTTCTGAGGAGCGGCGCTCAGCATGGTCGTCGTCGTGGTGACGGTTTGTGCTAAGTGACTTCTGCTTCATTCTTGGCAGACGGAGTTAGAGGCCAAAAGCGAGGCCAAGCAGGAGAACTACTGGCTCATTCAGTACCAACGCCTGCTGAACCAGAAGCCCCTGTCCCTGAGGCTGCAGGTACGGAGGGTGCTGCCCGCCGGCCGGGGAGCCACAGGACCGCCTCTCAGAGGCGCCTCCAGTCCCTGGCCATGCCCTGCCCCCAGCCTGCCCAGTGAGATCCCACCAGGGTGCCCCAGCCCCCAGGGGACAGAAACAAGAGCCAGGCACGGTCGTTCTCATGACGGGAGACCAGGCACTGGTCACTACGTACGGGCAAGCACCCGTGGGCCTACGTGGGACGGGACCGTGCACGGGTGGGTGGGGCCGCTGTCCTCGGAGGGTGTTTGAGGACAGGATGGGCGGGATTCTCTCTCTCTCTCTCTCTCTCTCTCTCTCTCACACACACACACACACACACACACACGCACCTGTTCAGTTTTTACCGAGCGTGCGCTGTGCCGTGCACACCACTCGGGACCCGCTGCTCCCTCCCAGCAGAGGCGGACGGCTCCCCAGGCGCGTGCCTGCAGCTCTGCCTCGTTGCCTGCAGACCACGTCCCGCTGCTTAGCGTGGGGCGACGCCTGGTGTCCCGCTGCTTAGCGTGGGGCGACGCCTGGTGTCCCGCTGCTTAGCGTGGGGCGACGCCTGGTGTCCCGCTGCTTAGCGTGGGGCGACGCCTGGGTTCTGGGACGTCCCCTTGGCCGCTGCTCAAGCGGCTTCCTCTGCACGTGGAGCCGGGGGCTGCCTGCGGCCCCCTGGGCACTTCCACGTGTGCTTTTGGGGGAAGTCTCAGCAACACGCCCCGCCTTGTAGGTCGCGTAGGGGGCGCTCAGAGCCTCCGGGTCTCGTAAACTGTGGGCTCTCTTCATTCTCCCCGCTCGTGGCTCCGTGGCCTTTCCTGTGGCTCCGTCGGCAGGAGGAGGGCATGGAGCGCCAGCTGGTGGCCCTCCTGGTGGAGCTGTCGGCCGAGCACTACCTGCCCCTCTTCGCCCACCACCGCCTCTCGCTGGACGTGCTGAGCCGGATGCGTCCCGGGGACCTGGCCAAGGTGGGAGCTGCAGGCCTGGGGGCGCTCAGCGGGCAGGGCTGACTTGCCTTTCACGTGGTTCGCGGTTCAGCCTGCCCAGGGCCACCGTGCCCCTGGATGGGGAACACCTGCCCCCTGCCCCCACCCACCCTCCTGTGGGCCAGACAGCCCCCCTACCAAGACGATTCTTCAAGCTGCAGGGTGACGTAGGTCCCTGGGGGTGGTCTGGCCCACATGCCAACCACCTAAGGCTGACCCGGGGGCCCGAAGGTGCCGGAAGCTGGGAGCAAGAGGCCCTCAACGTGGTGGCTCCCGGCTGCGTCTCCTGGCCCAGCCAGGCCACAGCTTGCCCCGCCTTGTTCTGCCACAGGTGGGCGTCTCGGAAGCTGGCCTGCAGCACGAGATCCTACGCAGAGTCCAGGAACTGCTGGACGTGGCCAGGACGCAGCCAGGTAGTGAGCCGGGGCCTCCAGCAGGGCCCAGCTGTCTGTGGGGGCCCCGGGCCAGGGCGAGTCCTAGGAGCTGGGTCCTTAAAATCCCCTCCCAAAGGATCGGGAGCCCAGTTTATTTACTATCATTCTTTTAAAGTAACTTAAGGGGCTGGCACTATGGCTTACTTGGTTAATCCTCCGCCTGCGGCGCTGGCATCCCACATGAGAGCCGGGTTCTGTCCTGGTTGCTCCTCTTCCAGGCCAGCTCTCTGCTGTGGCCAGGGAGTGCAGTGGAGGATGGCCCAGGTGCTTGGGCCCTGCACCCACATGGGAGACCAGGAGAAGCACCTGGCTCCTGGCTTCGGATCAGCGCGGTGTGCCGGCCGTGGCGGCCATTGAAGGGTGAACCAACGGCAAAAAGGAAGACCTTTCTCTCTGTCTCTCTCTCTCACTATCTACTCTGCCTGTAAAAAAAAAAAAAAAAAGAAAGAAAAAGAAAAAAAGAAAGAAAGAAATGGGGAAAGCAGGCCACGGAAATGCAGGCGCGGGGAAGCCTCAGTAGCAGAGGAGGGGCCTCCCGGCCCCCCCGGCCCCTCCCCTCCCTGAAGCACCTGCTGACACTGGCTGATAGCTGGAGCCACGTGTGCCGGGTCCTTGAAGACAGGCGGGAGCTGCCCTGGCCCAGTGCCCCCTGCAGGCCAACACTGTGCCTGAGCAGGCCCGCATGCGGCTGCGGGGAGGCCATGGTGGGTTGTGGAGCGATGGCCGCAGGACTGACGGCCGAGGGCAGGGCAGGAGTCGGGGGCTCCCAGGTCCCACACACACTGTGGGCACCGAGCATCTGCCGAGCGCCTCACAGCGGCCTGCGACGTGGACCCTTCTCCCGCCCCCTGAGAGGGAGACGAAGGCCAAGGGAGGTCAGCACGGCTTTCCTAAGGCCCACAGCGGGCAGAGCATGCCACCTGGGCTGAGACCGGTCCCACCCAGCTCCCTGCTGGTGCACCTCCTGGGGCAGCAGTGACGGCCCAAGGACTGGGTCCCTGCCGCCCGTGTAGCAGATCCAGACTGGTTCTAGGCTCCTGGCTCTGGCTTGTCCCAGCCCCGGCTGCTGCAGACATCCGGGGAGGGACCAGTGGGTGGAAGCAGATTCTCTCTCTCTCTCTCTCTCTCCCCCCCTCTCTCCCCCTCTCTCTCTCTCTCTCCCTCTCTCCCTCTCTCTCTCTCCCTCTCTCTCCCTCTCTCCCTCTCTCTCTCTCTCAATCTTTCTGACCCTCAAGGGAAAAGAAACTGAAGGCACCCTGCGGGTCCCGGAGGGGGGCGCGCGCCTCTCTGGCACTATTACGGCGCGAGGAGAAAATAATTATCTGCCAAATTATGACTGCCCCTCAATAAAGAGAGAGAGAATTCTCCAGCGAGGCTCAGGAGGCCCACCCAGCACAGGCCCCCCTTAAACCCCTGTTCCAGAAAGCAATGACGCTGTGTTTGGAGAACTAGAAGGGGTTCTGGAAAGGAGAGTCCCGCCCAACCCGGAGGAGAGGGTTGCGCGCCCTACTCCTCGCCTCGGGTCGCGAGAAAATGACGGCA